GGAAAATTCTAGTAGAAAATAGTCTATACCGGTCCATAGAAGCTCTCAATTCTCAAAACCGCTTCAAAATGCCTAAAAAATCGCATGAACACACATTATTGTGCTATTCCTCTTGCGGGAGCGTCAGAGGCGTGAGGACAACACAATTGCACCATTGCAGCATGACAACGGACAACACAATTGTGTGATTTTTGTTTTGAGAATGGATATTTTGTACAAGCCCCTGGGGCACGCAACAACGTGGCCCAACAGCCCAAAGTCCTTTCTGTCGGAGCCCAACAGTTTGTCTAAGAAAAAAAAGCACTACGCACACAGTTGTCTAGCACTACACACATTCCCCTCGGAAAGAAAGCAGCACACACACAGCCGCTGCCGCTGCCGCCGCCCCCACCGACGGCGAGAGCGGCCAGAGAATGGCCTTGCCGGAGATCCCCGACGAGCTCCTGGTGGAAATCCTCCTCCGCTTCCCCACCGCAGCCGACCTCATCCGCGCCTCGGCTGCCTGCGTCTCCTTCCGCCGCCTAATCGCCGACCGCTCCTTCCCCCGGCGCTTCCGCAAGCTCCACCCCCCGCCGCTCCTCGGCTTCCTCGACCCCGAGCGGCACCGCTTCCACCCCGCCGTCCCGCCTCACCCCTCCGCGCCCGCGGCCAGGGCCGTCGCCAGCGCCGCCGACTTCTCCTTCGGCTTCCTCCCCTCCCCGTCCCGGCGCTGGTTCGTGCGGGAAGTCCGTGACGGCCGCGTGCTCCTCGACAGACCCCGCCGCCTCTACGCCGGTGAGGTGTTCGGACCTCTCTTCAAGGAAATGGCTGTGTGCGACCCCTTGCACCGGCAGTACCTCTTGCTTCCTCGGATCCCCGATGACCTAGCCGCTTCTGTCGTGGGCGCACAAGGGTCGTGCTATGCCGACTCATTCCTCGTCCCTTCCGGCTACGACGACGAGGAGGAAGCAGCTGCTACGGAGGAGCCATCATTCAGGGTGATCTGGATGGTGCTGCTCCAAAACAAGCCGGTGATCGCTGTCTTCTCTTCCGGCACAGGGCAATGGCGAACCGTCCCATCACCGACTTGGAGCGAGATGTCACCTGGCTTCGTGTTATCGACACTGTTTATCTTCATGAGGCGCCATTACGCCCATGGCTGTTTCTACTGGATTTCAGGCTCCACTGAAAAATTGCTGGTGCTTGACATCCGCAGGATGGAGCTGTCCGTGGCTGACCACCCGCCCTGTGAAAGAAATCCGGCTGATGATGTGACCATCCTGGAGGCAGGGCAAGGCACAACTCTGCTGTTTGTGCTTAAGCGCAGCACGTCTCCCGTTACTTATACTGTTTGGCGAAACAATGGTGGGAGCTCCACCCAGTGGCAGATGGACAAGACATTCTCGCTGGATTCTGGGTCCTTGCTCACAGGTGCAGTGGGGAGGCACTTGCTCCTATATCATGGCGGAAGCTCAGTCAAGCGAGGTTGTTCCACGCAGGACGTTGACACATTCCAGCTTGACAGGGTGTGTGCCACATTTCCCAAACCGTCACACGCATATTGCAACCTCCCGCCGTCGTTATTATCATCACCGACAGTGTCAAGTGGTAAACTTTCTGCCGCATCCCAGTTACATCCTTCCGTTCATGGTTATCACTCTCACACAGCTTGTTTGATACTTGCCAGCTCATTAGCGTGATCATAGCTATTACACGGTTTAGTGAGTGTTGCCTTTTTTGTGCTTGTGCAAAAGCTGATCAAGCTAATTGTTATTTACTTGTTCGTCTGTTCTGTTTGCCATTTTAAGGTAATTATACAAGTGAAAAACAATGATCTTGCGAACTAGGAGTAACATTTTAGTGTTATCACGAAGTTGTGAAGAACACCAGATTATAGCAACTCTATTGATTTTTATGGCCAAGCTAATGGATCAGTACAAGTCTAAATTAGGACGTCTCTACCAATTCACCTTAGAAACTTTTAGTCCAGCCAGCCAAGACTTATCATGTCCACTAGTTCTTATTTGGTCGCCATTACACCTACAAATTTATTTCAGTAATATTGATTTCATATGAAAATTTATCTGAGGTACAAAAGTCTTATTTGGTCTCTGGTATGAAATTTTGATCATTCCTGATAGTAAATTTAAATAAAATATTGAATTAAAAAATATTTTGCAAGATAAATCAAATGGTATTATTTTTTTATGTGCATATGAACGATGACGATATTTTTTGTGTGCCTTATAATGCATATTTTCCAGCAAGAATTTTGCAAAGCAACTGAACTGAGATTGGTCGTACTATCATGGGTTGCTAATGATGGACAAATGTATTGTGTAGTACTTGTGTTATGTATAGATATAGATTAAGCAATGCCTTTGCCATGCCTTCAACCCTTTCTGCAACATGCATTGTTCTGTTTTTCTCCATTACATCTGAAAACCTTGTCACTCGGCCATATCCTTTCATCCTAGCCTGCATAAATGAAGATCTTTCCAAAGTCATCAAGTCAATCTATAACCTACTGAAGTTTGGTGTCTCAATTAATGCACTTGTCTCAGAGAACTATTCTTCTGAATTTAGGCATCCTTTTCTGCACAATTTTTTGTATTTCCGTGAAATCCCAACTTGTTTCAGTTCACACCTATGTATATCTCCTCTGCGACATCTATCTCGAGTTGCAGCTCCGCAAGTTGAGGCACTTTATTTCATCTATAGTAAGTTGCTAAGGTTCCACACAAAATTAAATTCACCAATAGTGATTTACAGCGGTACTTTCTGCTGCCATGCCTGTCAAAAAGCAAACTTTGTTTCCTGCATACAGATGTAACCTACATTTTCCCCTGTTGGCAGTAGGGCTGCAAGGAAAGCTCGAGGCTCGTGAGCCGCTCGAGATCGACTCGCTTTTTGACTCGAATCGAGATCGACTCGAAAAGAAACGAGCTGAGTTTGAACACTTTATGTAGCTCGATCAAGAAACGAGCCGATCTTGAGCCAATGTTGGCTCGCTCGATTTTAGCTCGATAGCTCGATAGAATATAATTACCTTAAATGATCATGTCATATATTAAATGGAAATAAGATAATTTATTACCAAATATGTTTTCCATAATTTTTCTCCATTTTATTTACCAACGAAAATGGAAACTTAATTAAGTGCGGAGAAGATTTAGGCCTAATTATGGCATGTGGTTGACTATGTGTTAAATATCCTATATTTTCGGCAAAGGTTCCCAGCATATTCACCTTAATGTTTTTGTTTTTCATCCATAGATTTATATTTTTTACCTTCTCATTTAGCTCGAAACTAGCTCGAGATCGACTCGAGATCGTTACAAGCTGAGCACGAGTCATGTTTTACAACTCGGTCATGATCTTCACTCAGTTTGAGCTCGCTCGAATTTTCATATGAGTTGAGCTGAGCCAACTCCAACTCGCTCGAGCTCGACTCATATGTGATTCATGCTGCAATAAGTCTGTCAAATCGATCCCTCTATTGAACTCTGTTCATTTTACAACCAGGATATCGTCTTTGTTTTGCGTACTGTTGCAATGGAACCTAGGACTCTTCTGTTGGATTGCCATCGGTCCTTTCTATGTGCCACTGTTTTTTTCCTGCTTTAATCATCTTCCTCTCCTTTATGTATGTGCTCCTGTCTTTAATTTCCCTCTCATCCACGCCCTTCCTTTGAAGCATGGAAACACACAAATTGACAATCACTACAAAATTTCCTTGTTTGCAGCATGATTGAGCTTGACTGTACTAATATCAGTAACAAGAAATGTTTACAGAACTTGGTTGGATTTTGTGAGTACTTGATTGCTGGACTTGATATCGGGTTCTCTCTTCATAAGTCGCCCGCAACTTTCTTAATTCTCAATCACATTACTAGGCTTTTCAAGTAACATCTAACCATTCTCATCTGAAGGTCACTTCATATATAACCTAGCTACAGACTAATAGTTGTGCACCATAAAAGAGAGTAAGTTCAGCTTTAGTAGTGTGCAGCATTGAAGTGGAAATTTCAGACAACCAAAAAACAACAATAGCTCCACTTAATGGTGTATCCTTGTGCATGCAGGCGCACGCCGCGTCTGCGCTGATGCCCAGGGAGCAGGGGATTATGTGCTGGTGCCTAAACTACGAGAAGCTGACCCTGGCGGTGTGCAAGGACCTGTTGTTGCAGCGGCTGCCCGAGCTCCGCCCCCCTCTTTCGTCGTCGAAGGTCAGACAACCATTTCTAATCTGAAGGTCACTTCATATATAACCTAGCTACAGACTAGTAGTTGCACAACATAAAAGAGAGTAAGCTTAGTTTTAGTTTAGTTCTAGTTTGCAACATCAAGTGAAGATGTCAGACAAACAAAAATTAGCAATAGCTCTATTTAATGATGTATCCTTGTGCAATGCAGCCACACCCCATGCTGATGTCCGGGAAGCGGGGGACGCTGTGCAGACGCTTGAACCACGAGAAGCTGGCCCCGGAGGCGTGACCTTGTGCAGTGCAGGCAAGTACCAATGTGCATGCACATTGCAGCTATTAGTTATCTGTACCATGATAGAATGCGCACGCACATCGGTAATCTTTCCAAGTAGGATTTATGCCTCCCATCTTGTTTCCCTTCCCAATCGGTGAGGAGCAATAATCATACGAAAGCAATATACAGCACACCGTTCCCATATCCCAATCACAAATCCTGATGCACCATTTTGGCCAAAAAAAGAAGGGAGAACCCGTATGTTCAGTGAAGACGTCAGACAACTGAAAATAATGAACAACTTGTGTTCATTCAATGGTGTATCCTTTTGCAATGCAGGCACACCCCAGGGAGCGGGGGACACTGTGCCGGTGCCTGAAGCAGGAGAAGCTGGCCCTGGAGGTGTGCAACGACCCGTCCTCTCATCTGCCGCCCAAGCCCTTAACCCCTTGCTCGACAACAATGGCGCGGAGGCGGGTCGTGGTGGGGCCAGAAGGAGGCGCTGGGGCTGGGGCTGGGGCTGGGCCTGCGGAGTCTGCAGGGGCCGGGTAGCCGAGCTGCGAGGAGACGAGGGACCGGAGTAGTAGTTCCAAGGCGTCCTGAATGTGGTAGGCTGCTAGCTAGATGGTGACATGGAGCGACCTGATGATCCTTTTTGTAAAGCTTATTTGCTTGATTTGTGTCATGTTGGTCGCTGGGTACGAGCGAGGCACACGAGCAAGAGTGGCAGGATATGACTGATCGACAGTGCAGTTCATCTTCTGTCGGCAAACCCATTATTACCTGGCAACAAGTACTTGATTGCCGATTTTGTTGTGGACAGGGCTGGACTTGGTGTTAGGAAGTAACCGACAGTAGCATGAACTTCATCTTCATGAACTGCAAGGGCACTCAGGCATGCTCTTCAGGTACAGTTTCCATCTTTGTTTTGTGCAGCAAACAATCTGGATTCATTTGTTTAAAAGATGATTTTGACAGCTTGGCATGGGAGTACCACATAGATATAGGTTAGAAGTTCTTTGGATCCTGGAGACATGCACATATGTATAACTCTGATGTCCCGTTTAGAAAAGATTCAGCTACCGAACTGGCCTGATAGAGTTAAGGAGTGCCCCTTTCAAAGGCCACTTATACCTCGTCTGGTTGCAACAAGCGGCACTCACACCTCCCCAAGAGATTTGTTGGGATTTCTCCCCATGAGGCTGTGTTCGGTTGGGAGGGATTTGGAGGGGGTTTGGCAGGGATTGAAATGGATTTAATCCCCTACAAGTCAAAACCTCCTCAAATCCCCTCCAATCCTCTTGTGAAGGGGTGTAACCGAACAAGGCCTGAACGGGAGGCATGGGTGGGTTTGTTTGTGTTTTCTTTTTGTAGATTCATTTTTTCAAAACGTGTTATCTCACGAACCTGTCGACCATTGACCACTTGACTGTTGACTTTGAAAAAAAAAATCACTGGCTTCATTTATTTTGCTAAATTGAAAAAAGTTCGCAGATTCTGAAAATGTTCACGGATTTGAAAAAATCTTATGGATTTGAAAAAAGTCCACAAACTTGGAAAAAGGTTCATGGATTTTAAAAAGTTCAGGAATTTTGATAATATTCATGGATTAAAAAAATCATGAACTGAGAAAAACTTTGCGATTCTAAATCTTTTTTGTGATTTTCAAAAATATCCAGGAAATTTAAAAATATAATTTCATGAAAAAAATGATTAAAAAAACAAAATATTGAACAAAACCTGTTAAAAAAATAGAGAAAACTAAACCCCAATAGCCAAAGAGAATCTTCTAGCACATTCTCAAAATCTGTGAGGGGAAAAGAAAAACATGGGTCGGCCAGTTAGGAGAAAGGAAGAGCTGTGCCGTAAGGGCTGCGTACGAAAACAGTTATAAATGGCGGTCAAGTGCCAAATAGTATTTCATCGTATTCTTCGCCTTGTGCGTCATATTGACACTATACCATGCACCGGGCCAGCCCAAATAAAGCTCCTTCCCCCTCCCCCTACCCCCTAGTTCCTTCCCTCTGCCGAGAATATCGTTTGTTGTAGTTCGCTCCCAAACAAAAAATTGGTTAGGAAAAACCCGGCAACGCCATCCTTTGAAAAACCCATTGTTTTGACACATGTTTGTGAATCCAAAAAATGCCGTGGATATTGAAATTGCTCATGGACTGATAAATGTTTGTGAATTAGAAAATACCATGAGTTTTAAGAAAATGTTCATCATTTTTTAATAGTTCATGAATTTGAAATGCTCGTGGATTTTAAGAAATGTTTACGTATTTTAGAAAAATTCTCATGAAATATTTTTTAACTTCACGAACTCTAAAGGGGTCATGAATTTAGAAACCAGAAGAAAATCTATGCAGGAAAAACAGAAAGGAGAAAATGAAGAGAGAAAAAAATAAATACTTATAAAAATCGCTAAAAAGTTAGATTCGGAAGCAGAAAATGAAATATAAATAAATAATAGGGAGAAAGAAACAACGAAAAGGAAGCGCAAAATGATTTTTTTTATGAAAAACATGAATTTTTTGTCACAAAAATTGACAACTATTTTGATTGATTGCGCGAAAGACATGGCAAAAATAAACAAAATCAATGCTCCTAAAAAGTTATTCTCAAAAGCATTTTTGAGTGCTGGTTTTTTCCTGTGACTTCTATGAATGCCATTTCACAATGAAACTTTGCAAGCATTCAAACATTTGTCAATATTTGCCATAAAAAAGTTCATATTTTCAGAAATTTTTTCAATCCCTATTTTCGAATTCTAGTGTTCCGCTCGAGCGGAGGACACTTCGTTTCCTTGATAACTACTGGATGTCATTTCAAGATGCATACACTAGTCATTGGGAACACCAAATCCCGTAATTAACAGGTTGCTATGCGATGCATTAGTCATAAGGGGAGATCGAGACGAGATCTAGTACTACTCCATTGTCCACAGAGTTGGAACATATACAGCACTTCGCCCAGACCAACACCGTCGGGTGCCGTATCCTCTCGACAACACGCACCCGTTCGCCCCTCACTCAGCCCCGCCCCCGCTCCGATGCGCCGCTGCCTGGTTGTGGCCCATCGCCTCTGCCACCAAAGCAAGCATCTTAAAAATGTCGGCCATGACGAACATCATCACAATGGCCACATCAATGAGAAGCGCGACGATCTTCAGAATGTCCTTCGCGACAAGCTCAATTGCCTCTTTCCTTTATTTGTTCTGCGTCGTTGCGTGGGCGTCGACGTCCGGGGGGACGAGGAGCGAGTCGGCGTCGTTGAACGAGCCGGAGGCGAGGGAGACGAGGCAGCTGTCGGATGTGCTGGCG